TGCGATCCAGCGGCGGACCGCTTGCCACCTCAGCGATCCGCGCCATGGATCGCAGACCGCAGCGGCAGGGAGCGGTCAGCGCCTCGGGACCCGGAGACCGCATCGGAAGGGAGCGGTTTCAGCTCTGGCAAAATTACCAGACCGCCCCTGGAGGGTGCGGTCTGATGGGTATAAATACTCCCTCCCCCCTCTCATTTCTTCACACCACAACCATTCTCCACTCTCTCTCTCTAGAATTATCTCTCTAACCCCTCCCCTCCCAAAAGCCTAGGAAATAGTGGCCTGTTGGTTGCGGCTAAGTCCGATCTGCCATCAAAAAACATTTCTTTGGTTTTTCCCTCAAAACCCGCCGAATTTTTTTCCGACTTTCACGAAAAAATGGACGAGTGGTTCCAAGGAGAGAGAGAGTTTATTATGATGAATTTCAAGCGGTACGTACTCATTATTTTGGTCAATTTTTGTTTTTGTTATAAGCTTTTTAATTAATCTATGTACTAACCTTGTTGTTATTTTCTCGTAGATTGGGGACGACGTGAATATATACAACCAACGGTACTATTTGGATCAAGGACCTATTGATCCAACCGACTTGTACGACCAACCCAACCATCGTTCAAGGGATGTTTGGAACGATCACCCGGTACAGACAATTCTTCATCATTTATATTTCTTTTATTTTGCTAATGTACTTAGTGGAATATAAATTTAAATTTGAAATAATTTAATCGTATTGGTTGTTTCCAATAATTTAATCGAAAACATAGCGCCACTTACTTCGACTCTTTATAAAGAGATGCACGTCTAAGGAAATGAGGTTTTAAGCGATTATCATGATCCTCCCATTTCCTGGGAAAATCGGGTATTAAGAGATCCTCGGATTCCCCCTTTTTCTGTTAAAAAGGTTGTGTTTCTAAGAAGATGTATACCTCTTCTAAGAGTCTAACGAGTGTTGCATTGTATTCGATTAAATTATTTAAAAAAACCAATACGATTAAATTACTTACCAAACAACCAATACGATTTATGTTTATGTTTACTGAAATGAATTTTATTAATTTCAAATGTTTGAATATGTATGTATCTCTTTAAATTATTATTCATTTAGAATGTTATTTATGTCAATTAATTTAGTATGTTTGTTTTATGATAGTATGTATATGTTTTATGATAATATGTTATTTATGCCAACTCATCACCGCATTGGTGGAGAGATGGAGAAAGGAGACACATTGTTTCAACTTTCGCGAAGGAGAGTGCACCATCATACTCAAGGACGTCGCCATCCTAACTCACCTGCCTATCGACGACAAAGCGGTGTGTGTGAGTGATCATTCCCCCGAGGATCGTGACGGTATGACCGGTTGGCAGTATTTCATCCACAGTGTTTTGGGGGTGAAAGTACCAACCAAGGGGAGCGTTGATGCGACGGATCGCTTGCCACCATTGAGGAAAGGCCAAGTATCAATCACTTGGTTGACGAAGTATTTTAGTGACCATCACGATCCTGAAAAAGATGGGGTGCCCCTAACCGAGGAAAGTCCGGAGCTGGAGAAAGAAAGATATGCTCGTGTCTATCTCATAGGCATGATAGGAGGAGTGTTCTTCTCCAAAAAAATCGAGCAATTTAATTAGCTGTGGATGGCTTAGGATCCTCCTTGGTAGTTGGGATGTGATGGGGGAGTTGAACTGGGCATCCGCTTGCCTAGCTAATATCTACCATCATTTGTGCAATGCATCCCTCAAAGTTGTGAGGGAGGTGGGCGGCGCAATGTTCATCGTCCAGTTTTGGGCTTGGGAGCATCTGCCATGGATTGCACCGCTCCAATGTCCCGACAGGAATTGGGGTCCCGATCATCCCCTAAGACTCGAAGCTTATGGTTGTAGGTAAATTTCTCATACCCCATCATGATTTTAATAACACAATTTTCCTTCATGTTTTAGCTTATTTTGATTGAGTGTATTTTTATTATCGTCTTATTAAGAATGTGGGTTGGAGCCTCAACATGCGACAACCTTACCCAACACAAGTTGATAGAGTATCGGAGGAGGCTAGAGCGACTTTGGGAAGGAGAGGTAACTTGAATACTTCTAAGTGCAAACTATGTCGCATCAGCTGAGTCGCCCACATCAGGACCCGGATTTTGTGGACCAATCGAAACTGGACAACTCCGTTTATCATGCCCTGGAACTCTGCATACTGAACATCGTCTTGGGCCTCGTGGTGGTCTTCCACTTTGATCCATTTCGTTTTGAATTCTCTTTTTCCTCGGTCGACCCGGTTCACGCCTCTGTCCGAACGGCAGGATTATCAACCTTCCTGAGTACACCGGCCAATAAGCTTCATCAGGCAATGCACGGAAACTATGTGCATAGCAATTTTTGAGTGAGTCGATATTGAAGAATGGACTGACGAAGTGACGGGGTCTTTGCACCTGTTTTTAATTACAGTCATTGCATGAGAACATGACCATCCTCTCCCCTGATACTTCAGGCATGAGCACTCACCAAGTTTTGTCCTGAAATTTACCAAAATTTCATGGCGATGGCCCCCGCGTCTACCATCCTCACGGTGTCCGGTCGTCACGCTAAACTCGCCAGTTGCCCGATTCATAACGGTTACACTATGTCGACTACTCTTCTGATTGTCATGCTCCAGTATTTCTGTGACTTTATTGGCATGGACCTTTCCATGTGCCTCGTTCGTCCTTGCCCAGTGTAGTCGATTGACGAACCATCCATTCATTTTCCAGAAAGTCATATCCACAATGGCAGAGATTGGCAGTGCCCGAACACCCTTGTAGGCAGAATTGATACTCTCTGATGAGTTCGTTGTGGCCATACCCCATCTTATACCTCCGTCTTTGTGAAATGTCCACATGGATAGGTCGTGTCCATCCAGCCACTGTGCCCCTTCAGGGCATAAGTTGCGCATCTTCTGCAACTTCTCCTGGAATTTTTTCTCCTGATATGCAACAGCTGAGGTAATCACAATCAAGTATTACGTTAGTAATAATTCGGCAATTTATTACAATTTGAACAACAAGAAGGTACTCTCGTTAGACTCTTAGGATAGGTTTACATCTCCTTAGAAACGCAGCCTTTTTGAGAGAAAAGGGGGGGGTCCGAGGATTGCTTAAAACCCGATTTTCCCAGGAAATGGGAGGACCATGATAATCGCTTAAAACCCCATTTCCTTAGGCATGCATCTATTTAGAAGGAGTCTAACAAGTGTACCATTTATTTGATATAAGATATTGTTCTTCTCCAAAATTAAACAACCAATAGAGAGCTTACCAATCCACCACAAATTATCAGCAAGCTTCTTCCGCTTGAAATGATGGTTCCAGTTGCTTTTGAAGTGTCGTATGCACCACCTTTGGGACCACTTCCAGGCTGGATCCAAACCTAAGATGGCAACTCTAATCCCGGCGTGCCGATCAGAGATTATTGTCAGGTTCGTCCTCCTAGTGACGTGGAGCTGAATTTGCCGGAAAAACCATCTATAGCTATCAGTATTCTCTCCCTCAACAATGGCGAAGGCTAACGGAAAGACTTGTTTGTTTGCATCCGCCCCACTGGCAATCAGTAGAGTGCCCTTGTACTTTCCGGTAAGGAATGTACCATCCACTTGGATCACAGGGACACAGAAGCCAAAACAATCAATAGATGGCTTGAATGCCCAAAAAATTCGTCTGAAATGGCGTTTGTTACCTGGCTCTGGCGGTTGTACTTCTTCATCTTGGTATCGAGGGGAGAAAACAGTGTCAGGGTTAGACACCTCCAGTGCCAAAATCAACCTGGGAAGGAATGCATATGATTCTTCCCAATCACCATATACCGCGGCCAGAGCTTTCTGCTTTACATGCCACGCCTTCTTATAGTTAATCATATTAACCATAACGACTTGCAATGTCAGCGATTATGACTTTCACCTTCAGGTCAGGATCTTGCTCAATTAGATGCTTGATAGCCATAGCAACCACCCTGGATTTCAACTGTCGATGGCCTTGGGATGTTATGGATGACGCACATGTGTGTGTGTTCACCGCACGGGATATGACCCAATGGTCGTGTCTCTTCACTACAACAGATTTGGCCTATTAGGACAAAAAAATTATTTTGTCATTTTTTATTTGTCACAATAGGTACGGTGATATGAAAAAAATAATATATGTCCTATTTGGTATGTCTAATGTGACAAAAAAAATTATTGTCTGAATAATTCGTCATTTAAAGTGAGTGATGTGACAAATATTTGGTGTCATAATTAAATTTGTCACAATAGGCATCCCATATCGGAATGTAAGATACAGAGAAGTGACAAATTATATCGTGAGAATAGCTTTTGTTATATTATGTCTTCCTAAATTGTTTAATGACAAATTATTTTGTCACAATAGATAGAAATAATCACACGAGGAGCTGTCAAAAGGGCATGTTCGTCATAATATAGTGGTTTCGGCTTTGACAAAAGGCATGTTCGTCGTAATATAGTGGTTTCGTTTTTTACAAAAGGCATTTTCGTCATATTTGCCTGTATTCAGCATAAAAAAAACAAAAAAAAAATTTACCACACAATAAAAATTTCAGTCCCGCCCAATTTTAACTGTCCCCTAAAAATTTATGGCTCCAATTTTTAATCGCCCATTTCTAAAAAAAAAATTATGGCTCCAAAAATTTCCTTTTCCGCCAAAACTTTCCCCATAAAAAATTGAAAATACCCCCTTATCACCATTAAAAAAATCCCCTTACCCTAAAATTCCAACTGAAACGTCTGCCCCTCTACCCTCTTTTATCTCACCCCATTTACTCTTTCTTCCCCTTTTAAACTTTCCTTCTTTTCTCCCCTTCTTTGTTCTCTCCAAAAAACGACCCTTCACCTACTCCTTACATTCAAAGAAGACGAAGCTTTCATCTCTTCCTTCCTCTCTCAAAAAGACCGCCGCTAGCTGCCTCCTCTTGCGATAACCAGCGATGTTGGCAGAGAGATTGAGAGGGCAATGATTGTCGATATCCGGCGACGATGGCAGAGAGATCAAGAGGCAAGGGGTGGAGAGACCGAGAGGCGACAGGCGGAGAGATTGACATGCGATGATGGCGCCGAGCTCAAGAGGTGACGGGCGGATCGAGTGCCCGTGATGGAGGAGAGTTCCGGTGAGAGCATTGATTGGACCAGTCTTGTTTAATCTCTTTTTTTGTAGGTTTTTCTTCGGCAGAGGAAGGGGTTTCATCAAGGTGGGGGCTGAGGGTGAGGCTGCGGAGGTAGGAGGAGAAGGTGCCCGAGACAAATATTGACGAGTCTAAGGCCGAGATTGACGAGTCTAAGGCCGGTTGAAGATCAACGAGTAGAAGGTTCGGTGCGAGACTAGCGGCCACGGTGGGAGAAGGATTCTGATGCATGCGTTTTTCTTCTTCTTGTGTTTGTTACCTTCTGGGGGTTCCAATTCTGGGTTTGAGGAGGAGAAGGAGCGATTCTGGATTTGGTTAGTTTGGAAGGGTTTCAATTGCTGGGTTAGCAAAGCTTTTCTGGGTTTGCGAAACTTTTCTAGGTTTGTGAAAATTTTATAGGATTGTGAATGATTTTCTGGGTTTGTGAATGAAGAACAAATTGTGATAACAAAGCTTTGCTAGATTTGTGAGTTCCTTTTTATGAATTTGGATTTGCGAGTTGGGCACAATCGATGGAAAATAAATATCCTTGTCTACACTTATGACAAAATGCAGTCGTCACAATATACAGTTATGACAAAATATAATCGTGTAATATGACAAACAAATTCTCTCAAAATCACCAAATTATAACAACTGTAATGACAAAATATGTCGTCAATAACATCTCTGTTTGTCACAATAAACTACCCAAAACCTCAGTTATACTAAAAGCAAATGTGACAACCTTGTTTTAAATTTTTGTCACATTTGACCTATCCTGACGAAGATAAAATGACAAAGCTTTGTGACAACACCTTTTGTCATATTATAGCTAATATGACAAAATGAGTATCTACTATGACAAATTTGTGTTATTATAATAGGCCGAATTTGTTGTAGTGCTTGCTGTTGATGGCACGAATCCTAACATTGCATCCCTCGTTATGATTACGGCATCTGACTATGAGCCTTTTCGTGTTGGAATGAGTTGTGTGCCATTCAAAATGCTGAGTCATTGCTTCAGTATCAATGGCGTGCCGCATCGAGCCAAATTGTTGGCCCTTCATAAACCTAGTGAGTGGACCCCATATTGGAACCTCCGAAGGTTCCATGTTGTTGTGGACCATCCAATTGCCGTCTGGGATGTGATTGTAGTAGGGGATTGGTACACGGTCATGAGCCACCTCATCATCATTATCTGAGTATAATTCACCTCCATCATGGATATTAGATGTTTGACCGTCTCCAGAATGACCTCCAACGCCTACGACCGGCTTGGTGTAAACGAACATCTCGGCTTTGGAAAGATTGTTGGACCTCAAGAATTCGAGCATGGCATCTACCTCATCCTGAGTGGTTATGAGATACTCCTCGTGCCACAACGACCCGCCTTCTCTGTTTGGATATCGGTACACCATACGATCCACTCTTCTCATGCCATCCATGCAAGTAACGTTAGTACACATTTGATAGAGAGGTCTTCAAGCATCGGTCTGGTAGCGACCTTTATTTTCTGAAAATTGCCACCGACGTAGGTGACCCCCTTTCCGCTCTCTTCCGTGTAACCATTCCACCGTAACCCAAGCGTGAACTTTTGGAATGCCATGTGCAAAAAAACAGTAGTTCAACTAATATCATAAAAATCACAATTCACAATAAAAAGTAATACAAAATAAACTTACGAGTTAACATTAACCGCAAAAACACTAGAGAAATATGGAGCTGCAATAGAAAATTGAAAAGGGAGAAGGAGAGGTGTGAAGAGAAGAAGATTTCCCGGGTTGCCTTTTATAGGCAAAATCATCAAAGAAACCGCACCTTAGAGGTGCGGTTTTCATCTGCCATGCAGCCCCACGTCTGTCAATCTGCATGGCTGCATGTCTGGTGTCGGAAAATAATTGACACACAAACTGCATTGGGAGTGAGGTTTGTGTTGCCAAAACCGCACTTTGAGGGTGCGGTTTGTTTTGGAGAAGAAAAAGCGCATCCCCAAAGTGCGGTTTTGCTAGGTCAGGCCTAGACCGCATCTGGGCCATGCGGTTTGGTTAGGTCAGACCGCAAACCGCATGGCCAAGATGCGGTTTTGGCCCAGAAAGATAAAACGCACCCCCAAGGTGCGGTTTAAAGACAAAACGCACCAGGGGGTGCGGTTTACATGCAAAACGCACCAGGGGGTGCGGTTTTAAAAAAAGGGTGATATTTTTGTAATTTCTACGGAATTGGTGCTATTTTTGTAATTTTTTTTTAAAGGTGCTATTTCTGGAAAAATTCCGATATCCTGCTACCTCAACCGAAGAAGTAGTGAAGATACACCGCGAGAACTCAACTGGATTGTTTGTGGTAGGCCTGATTTGGAAGCAGATTTAGGCAACATTGGTTTAATACAAGTTTAAGTAGATTGTGAGTTGTGATCCGTGGGAGGTGAGTAGCATTTTGTAGGACCAAGGCCCTCAATAAAAGAGCATATGATTCAGAAAAAAAAAAAACAATTGTTCTTTTTCTATCTTTAAATGATTTATTTTTTTTATCTTATAGTAGCATGGTATTGCACAAGTAATAAGTGATAGATCACAATATGAATATTGACACAAAGTTTAGCGAAACACCAAATTGTTACATTAGTCTTATAGATACATATTCCTAAGATGTTAGATAAAAAAAATAACTATAATTCTGTAACAGTTACATAATACGTTTATAGTTTAAGTATCAATATTTTAATCAATGATTTAGAGTTACTTAAACAAAATGTTAACTTCAATTAATTTATAAAACCAAATACCACAAACAAATTCAACATACCTCAAAATCGTAACCACAATTTAATCAATTCAGCTATCGTAGGATCCACAAGGCCATCCCAAACTACCCCTATCGCCATCACCACATTCCATTACGCATCCCGCCCCATGATTCCACCAACCGTATGAGACCCACTATTGACTGCACCATCAAAGGAACACAACACCTACAACGAATTATGATCTGGATCCACATTTTGTCTCCCAGGTAAGGATGGCAGTGGGTCGGGTTGGATCGGGTTTTGCCAAACCCACCCAAACCCATGAGTTTATTCGTGAAAAAACCCGGGGTAAAACCCACTGGGTTTGAAACACTCAAACCCAACCCATCCGTGGGTTCATGGGTACCCACGGGTTTTTGTCGTAAAAAATTTATAATAACAAATTCCTATCAAAATTAAAGTCAAATATCAATCTCTCAATACAAATTATCCATATATAAAACACTATTCTAGAAAATTCAAGCAAATCACTAATTAACTATACAAATTGTTCAACACCAATATAGAAAACTCAAGAAAATTGAAGCCAATCACAAATTATCCATAAATAACATGATTAATTGAAAGCTTCTTCCTTTCAATTAAATTTCTTCATTCTCCACTCGATAACATCAACTTCATTCGACACAATTAGAAAGAAAAAATTAGACATGTCTCCACAAACATAAATAAGATTAGTTGTTTAGAATATTAAATATACCGAGAAAATTAATTATATGGGTGTGGGCGGGTACCCATGGGCCGGGTTTACCTAAACCCAAACCCAACCCGGTGAATAGTGAACGGGTTAAACCCAAAACCTGCTCAAAACCCGTCAACACGAATTTTACCCGCGTTGACCGAGTTGGATCGGGTGGGTACCCGTGGGTTCGGGTTTTGTTGCCATCCCTACTCCCAGGGCTTGTACACCCTCCTTGCTCTACCACCGCCACTTGAGTAATGCCTAGGACACGCCCCCGCTTCTCCAATTTCACTCTATTTTTTTTAACCAGAACCTATTTACCTTCAAATACAACCGCGTTCCTAGACTTTCAAATATGCCAAAGCACGCACAACACAGTTACAATCCGCTGAGGCGAAGATTCCTTCTCAAGGAACCACCGAAAGAAAATCTAAAATTTTTGGACCAGAAGTCCTCTAATTCTGTCAACATTACAGATACTGACCACAGAGCATGAGCCGTCGGACAAAGCAAAAAAAAAGTGTTTCACCGGTTCCTCCACCGCCCAGCACATTGGCCATCCAACCAACAACTACACATCCCTTTGTCTCAAAGCCTAAGTTGTTGGAAGAATCCGCGAAAGCAATTGTCAAGCGAATTTTTTTGTTTGATCGTATATGCGACATTTAGTGTTCTCCATATTTGAGGCCTAATCCTCCCCGCTCTTTTGGCTTACAAACATCTTGTCAAGAAACTAGATGCGTTTTGTTTGCTCCATCTTGCGAAACCCATACTAAAATTGTTAAGTTTTGAGTCAACCAACTCACAAAACGGAGAATGAAGCTTAGACGTCCATGTACACAAGACCTGACTGCATATATCACCAAGAGGGCTAAAGTAATCCACCCTATAAGTAAGAGAAGTTTTCCCATTATAACTCGAGAGTTGTTATAAATTTTCTCAAGAATGTACTTGTAGATATCTCGAATGACTCACCCGTGCAACATATGGAGGCCTAGGCTAGGTTAAACCCAAGAATTTTTTGCCGATATACCCATATTCTATAAGATGGTTTGCGAGATAGATCGGCAAGTAGGTGTAAGTAAAATCCTAGACTTTTCACTATAGACAATTTTCCCAGAAGCTTCGCAAAAGTGACTCAGCTGCTTTAGAATAATGTCACCTTTTTCTCGATACCATATGTAAATAGGATTAGATTAAATTGTCGACAAAAAAAAAATGGATAGGTTTGGTCCCATTTTAGAAACCACAAAAATATTCTATTCCATCTTCCATAACTATCAGGATTACATCTCCATGCGTTTCATAGACAGAGTAAAGAGGTAATGGGAGTGAGGACAATACTATCTTAGCCATCTTATTGACTTAAATGCTTTCTGTGCACCAGCATTCCTCAAGATTTGGAACATCGTGGAGGTGACATTATCAATGTCCCTGCCCCTTACGAGGTTAGCAAGTTATCTCGTGCCGTTATGGTTCTTGTTCGAATGTGGAATTTGAAAATTAGGAGTAAAAAAACCATATATTTTTGTTAACTTGGAATTCTAATTAATAATTTATGCCTTATCTTCAAATTAGGAAGGTAAATTAGACATATTAAATGAAAATTTCAGCCTATCCTTCACTTAATACCATATATATAATTAGCAAATTATTAATTAATAAAATATTAGGCAAACCATGGTCAAGTCAGAACCATAAAATAAAGGTAAAAGAATTAATAACCTTCCATCACTAAAACTGGGTTAATAATTATACCATTTTTGCGTTCATTTGGCCCTTCAAGAAGAGTCAATAAATAGAGACCATGAGCACCGTGAAATAGACACAGTAATAGGCAAATCAGCACTTCTCTTCAGTCCTTGGCCGACGATTCTCATCTCAAAAGATAGACGCCCAAAATGGTGAGCAAGCATATCACTCCCTAAAAAAATTTTAGGTGGTGTTACCATAGTTATAACTAGTCGCATCGATCGATGTTCTTCTATTTACGACACGATATTGCTACTAGTCGAATATGTAAATCGCTTAATTTTTTTTTTGGTTGCAGGATCTCAGGATTAATTTTCTCTTGGTGGGAGCTGTGCTTGCAGCTTTGTTTAGTGTAATGAGCTGCAGTGAGCTAAATCTACCCACAGACCAAACTGGTGATGGAATCAAACTCTTCAATGTCATGGCTTTTGGTGCCACGGGAACTGGAACCACCGATGACTCTAACGTAGAACATCATTTCCTCAATTTCTCTATCATGTTTTCGGTTGGTCACAAAAACATATGAAATTTACAACAGATTTCTTTGGTTGCTTGATGAAAATTTTCCAGGCATTTATAAATACATGGAAAGCGGCTTGTGGAGCAGTGAGCAGTAGTCCCGTTATCCTTATTCCTCAAGGAAAGACATTCTTGTTGAAACCAATATGGTTCCAAGGTCCTTGCAAATCGCCTATCCAAGTTCAGGTCATTTCTCAAATCATCGTTCAATCCAAAATCAATCCGACTACGATGCTCGCAATCCTTTTGTGTCTGTATCATACATCCGACATAAAAGTCTTTTATGGTTGTAGGTGAAGGGAAAATTATTGGCACTTCCCAACCTAGGAAGTTGGAAAGGGCTGGATATCCACGAGTGGCTAGCATTTTCACAAGTACAAGGATTGATTATAGATGGACAGGGCCAGGGCCAAATCGACGGCCAAGGATATAATTGGTGGAAGGCTTGCTCTAATGTAACGCCACCAATATATATCTATGCACTTATCTTATCGTATTAGTTCTGTTAATCATGTTGACAAATCACTAATTACCATTTAATTTTTTTTTTATTTTCTTGTTTTGTAGTCCAATGATTGCACCAGGCCAACTGTAAGTAATTAATATGCCCCTTTGAAAATTTATTAGGAGTAAACATTTAGCCTTTTATGAAAATAATATGATTGGAAAATTGATAATTATGTTCTTATCCTTATTTCATTTTATTCTGAATGTAATAGGCACTTAGAATTTCGAACTGTGTTAATGTTCGATTAAGTGGGCTGAAGCACTTCAACAGTCAGAGAAATCACATATCGATCGACGGATGTAACGATGTGATTGTTTCTGGGCTCCATATTTTCGCTCCTGAACAAAGTCCCAACACGGACGGTATTGACATAGCAGGCTCGACGAATATTCAAGTTATGAACAGCGTCATTCAAACTGGTAAGGACAATGAAAACCAAAGGTTTGCGCGGCTTGGTATTCGTTTTCGATTATTGTTATGAAATGGAGTTAGGTGGTCTAATTATATTTTAATTTTCTATTGTGCTTATGTATTACTACGAGTTCTATGTTGGATTGCCAATATATCTTTTCTTACTCGCATTTAAACTAAAGTTTGGTTGTGTAATTTATTTATTGTTATGCATGTAGGTGATGATTGTATTGCAATCAACACACTATGCTCCAATATTAATATTACTGGAGTGACTTGTGGACCTGGTCATGGCATAAGGTTTGACATACGTACCAAATTGTTCAAAAAAAAAAGTTCCATACATACAAATAATTTTTACGATGTCCTTATACCGTTGGATTGCTCGGCGTGTGATCCACAACCATTGGATTAACACAATTTTTTCCATTGTAATTAGTGTTGGAAGCTTGGGGATGAATGGAGAAGTCGCTAAAGTGGAGGGAATCTATGTGCAAAATTGTACCTTTACTGGATCAACAAATGGAGCTCGTATTAAGACTTGGCAGGTACTGGGTAATTTAAAAAAAAACATCTAATTACCATTTTAAACAATAGTAATGAAATAATTAAGCATGCATAGGACCATTAACTTGTGCTAATGTTTTTTTTTTTTTTGTTCTTTGTACTTAATTAGGGAGGAGCTGGATATGCAAGACACATAATTTTCGACGACATCACATTGATCAACACGGATAACCCTATCATTATTGACCAATATTATTGTCCTAACTGTGTAAACCAGGCAAGCAATAACTTGAACTTTGCAGAGTCATTTCGATACACTCTTTTAGCTCCACCATTTATTAATTAACTTCCATTTTAAATCCCAGACATCAGCAGTACAGATATCAGATGTTTCATATTCGAGGATACGTGGCACATCAGCTACTCCTACTGCTATAAGTTTGATGTGCTCTCAAACACAGGGTTGTACTGATATCAGATTAATGCACATCAAGATAACATCGGCTCATTCATCGGAACCGACATCCTCAAAATGTATCAATGCTCATGGAAAGTACACAGACTCCATACCTAAAGTGGACTGCTTGTTGCCCTAGTCAAGAAGATTTGAAGATGGGGAAGAATATGTGAAGGAAGCCAAAATCTGTTGGCACCTCTTTTCCCCCCTTCTTTTAGTTTCTTTATCAAGGAATAATTTGCAGTCTCTGAATTGAACTCGAGACGTTGTGGTAATAAATATATCTAAAACAACATACTTGTGTATGAAATAAAAGAAAACGAATTGATAAATCATTCATGACTTACTGTTTGATTACTAATCTGAAGATGTTGGCATGGTAGAAATGTGGAAATCAATAACATCTACTTATAATTTAGGGGATTCATCTAAATATCATTCAAAAAGATTTTTCAATTATCAAATTTGTTACGGGAAATATTAAAGAGAAGATAAAAATAAAGTCTCTTAAAAATTCAAATATATACTTAGAGGGTTTGAGATTTTGACTTTTACCAAAAAGTCTCGTAAGAATTATTATGTGCAAAAATTACTTTTTCAGCAAATGAAAAATACAAACACAGGGTTAATAGCATTTTATACCCTTCTAGTATTACAAGTTAACCAATATACTCGTTTACTATTCTTTTACAAAAAGTATCCATTTTTCATTAAAATGTAACAAACGCATTCTTCTATCCTACATTCTAACGGTTAAAAGGGACGAAGAATTACCGAAGTGCCAATCACGTATTCAATAATTACTTTTTATTTTTTTCAGCAGAAATAAGAAAACAGAAAAAATAAATAAAAGGCCAGGACCTTTTTAAAATTAAGTACAAAGAATCTAAATTAATTATAGTGTCTTGATTCTAAAATGAAGAAAGAAATTTATGTAATATGTGAATGGAATTTTGATCATCTCCAGATTACTTCAATGGTCAACTAACTTGATTTTGAACGAAAGAATACATTTGCTAAGTTTTCAATAGCATATGGGATACATTTGTACAATAATACAATATATAGTAAAGGAGTTATGTTTTGTCCGTCTTGCTCCATTTCTCCATTATTAGCAAGCTGAACGTCAATGGTTCGATACTTCGATTATACTCGTGGTGGGTTTCTTCATTTGTTGTTTTTCTGAGAACGAAAAGGTGAAGGCCGACTCATGAACTTGAAGTTTGCACAAACCCACAATATCATATGCTTAAAGACAACGATTAATACTAAGAATCGTGAGGACTTAAACACATGACCTCATGGACAAATCAGCTCTATATTAATACCATATCATAAACGAACTGATCCCAATAACTCGAACTGTTAAAAATCGAACTGTTAAAAAAGACTGATAAATTGTTAGAAAAAACTTATGTATAATACTTAACCACTTCCTTACAAACCATATATATTTCAAACTAGTTGGCCAATAGTGATTCCTTCGCATGAGATAGACATCCCTCCCACGATAAAAAGCTGTAAAAATCACACAAGATACAAGGTGTTCTTGTTTCTCACCCAACCCGCCTAAATCTAATTAATAACTGAGCTCAAGAATCAAAATTTAGTCTTCTCCAGAGAACTATTCATCGGTGGTAGCCAGCCGGCACCTTACTTCCACGAAGTAGTAGAAAGCCCTAGCGATTCGAGGGGAAAACTTAGTTTAAAGAACTGTCAAGCAACCGCGGCCTAAACATCAAGAGATAAGAAATACGATAATAATGAGATTAAGGACAGAGATAAGCACCTTAGTCCTCCTCCATAGGAACTTCTGGTATATCAAACCTGTCTTCCTCGATTGTCTTGTTGATTACAGAAACAGATGGTAATGTTAAGTCAAGGAATTCACAGAATGAAATAAGACTTTACACGCCAGAGAGGTCAGCAGTTAACAAGTAGCGAAACTTTCAAACTAGTTCACAGTCAAAGGATATTTATTGCCATAAGATCATCCTCCTTTTCACCACGATTCCTGCTGTTGTCTAGTTCTCTAACAATTTCAGGAGTCACCTGAACACCAAGATTGTAAACTCGAGAATCAGAAGAAAGCAATCCAATCATATTCCCACATGGTTTGCAGGTCAGGGGAAAACCGAAGGAATTTTTTTAATGAGGTAGGCTAGGATGACATTACCAGATAGTGCCTTTGTCTTCCGACTAAGGTTCTAAGGTTCACTTTATCTTCCTTTTGGAGTTCATTCTTGTACCTGCCACAGGTATCCAATAGAATTTAGTAGGGAAAACAACTACAAACGTTTCTCCTTCTTTCTTAATTGAAAATCTATGAGCATGTCCTACAGCATGGCAAAAGAAGGAAATTCTCCATACCTTTGAACAAATGCCAGTAGTGATTGGTGCCAAATTACAGGCATGATCCTTGAATCCTCCATAAATCTCATGTAATGAGCAACAAGTGCATCAATAACACGATACGGCAGCGCGTATTTCTTTTCCAAAAGAAGCTTGATGAAATAACTGCGAAAGTGTTGTCATACCCAAAATTGTACCTTGAGCTTCTAAAGGAGAAAGTTGTGCCAGAGTAGTAACCATCAAAGCACATATAAAGAGTATACATTCCATCGAACTTCTAACAGATGCATGTGCATTGTCCATGGATATGAAATGCTAAATAGATTGACCTTCAAAATCACTAGTCATTTCCCACTTAAACCCTTTCAACTAAAGGCATAATATTTGACGCCCTCAAATACCTTGTTGTGCCGCAGTACTCCATTTCTGCAAGCTTCAGCAAGGCAACACTGCAATTCAATTTCCGTAAAACCCATAAGACATTTGTTTCTCATTCATTGTAAGCTCACCAGCAATAAGGGAATAAAGTTGTCATCTAGAGGAACAGGGATTCAACCAAGCTGGCAAATGCAATAATCTCAAATAGTCGAGCAAACAATACTAAAATGTTCTTTATTTCTAGTTTGTTAGTAAGGGATTTAATACTAATGAGAACAAACAATTGAAGTAATATAGCAAAAATAACAGATTATTTTAAAAATATATTTGGCTATATAACAGAGGATATCGGTAAGATATCCAAAAGGGATTAAAAAAAATTATTCATGCCTTAGTGACAGATGAAATTATCTGCAAGGGAAAATGGACCGCATACCTGGAATGAAGCATAGGAATGGTGACCTTTTGAATAACACTTCCAACAATGACTGCTTCTCTAAGATTGCATGTTCCTGACTGCAAACACAATGCAAAGGAAGGGAACAAATATCAGCCCCGAAAGCATCTCGGTACTATCAGGAGACACTCAGATTCCTTGCAAATAAATGCATATACAAACCACTAAACTAATCCAATAGGAATAGATCATTTCAACTTTTGTATTGACATATAGACATAGCAATCAACATGACATACATCAAACATATTTCACAAGAAAATGAAAGAATTTGAAAGGACTTATGGGAAACCTTACAGTAACAAGGCACACGAGAAATTCCTGATGAGTGAGATTAAAAAACATGATTTGCCTCTCAATCTCCAGTAAGATATAAGAAAACCACAGGTTTCTCAGGTTGGCTAGAGGTTCTAATTCCTAATCAATCACAGGCTTTGCTCTGTTATGTTGCTTGTGAGTTATCTGGTTACAGTGGCCACAATTTATTTTACCCTCCAAGCACAACAGGAGACATTATAGAAACTGAATGAAGATCCAAAACAGAACTGCTAACCTTAAATTCGTAAAAGGCTATCAAGTCACTAAAAGATTTCCATTTCAAGTAGTTTAGATAAAAATTGAAACACGCTATTATAACAACTGATAATTAAACTATAGAAGACCAGTTTCTAAATTTGGTTAACTAAAGGAAAGGACAGCATGATAACCAGTTACGAGCCACACAGTTATCAAAGAGAACAATACGAGGCCACTAAAAGTACATACTTCAACCTAGGTAATACTTGAGAAGGTCACCATAGATTAAACCCAGATCAGATGACTGTCCTTGGAAGTAAGTTTCAGGAATGGTCACCACATGCTATCAGCCCAGAAACTAAAACAGTCAGACTTTCCTTAAGAAATTCATGCTTCAGAAGAAGAAGAAAGCATAGTTTTCATATATTTTTCGGACATCAAATTCACTCAACTAATGCTCTTTCTGTTCTACAAAAAACAGCTCCCTCTGAATTGGGAGTAGTCACAGTAGTAATGGAACTAGATAAAAGAGCAGCAACAAATTTGTAGACATACAATGATACAAATAAAGAACCACAAGAATCTCTGAATAAGAATGCATACCTTGCACAATGGAAACAATATTCCCTTGTTAAATGCCGCAGGTTTGAAAATAGCCTTTTTCAACGCCTGATAAAGAGCAAAATGCAATCTCTTATTCTTCTTAATGTCATCCCTAACTCGAGGAAGCAAAACTAGTCTATAAAACCGCTCAGCCTTCTTCGAACCCAAGTTCGACGCCAAGATCCTTGTAGCTTGATACATCCCATTTGGGGACCATTTCTCAGGTTCAGTAAGGTACAAGACATCTTCCCAGTGTTGCATTGCAGTGATCTTTCTGAATGCTTTAGGAACTTTGCCAGCTGTGTATTTACTCATGAACTCACCAACCCTGAACGTTAACAATCAAACAGACTATTGTAACTCAAAATGCTTAAACCTTCGCCACATTCCATCGTCGCTGAAATCATTCAGCGTAAGGGGGAAAATCATTACCCTTTGTACAAATCTATCACCGAGCTGTCCATTTTGGGTAAAGGCCGCGATTCTGCAATCAAACATCTGTGTCAACGAAATAAACTTCTGGAAAGAATCCATAGCAACAAAATTTAACAAACAGCAATGAACCTGAAGAAACTTGTGCATCGTTCTCCTTGATCTTCTTAACAATGATATCTGTAAGTGTAGGCTCCTTACTAGGACCCTTTGATAAGAAAGCCTCCAATATTCTCTCATCTTCCTCATCAATCTCCCCCTGCCAAAAAGAACATTAAACAACTCAAACAACATCAATATGGCTGCTGTAAGAGAGGTCAGATGACAGTTTGTCGTGTAGAAGTAAATTTACCTCAAAATCATCATAGCGACTTTGAGTCTCAGAAAAGCCCGCGAAATCATCAATATCGCCATCTTCGTCTTCCACTTCTCCTCCGCCGTGCTTGGCTATGTCAGCAAACGCCTCTCTGGTAGGATTTCTTTCCTGAGCTTCCTCTTCAATCTCCCTCTGCTGAATCAGAGCCTCTTTGAGAATCTTCGAGCTTATCCCGGAAGCTATCGTCTTCTCTTGTTGCTGGTGGCTCCTGGGAGCTTTGGAACGCTTCTTCGAGGAAGCGACGGAGGCATTCTCCTCCGGGTGGAATGGTTCCGGATTCTGCAGCCTGCTTCTCTTCTTCGCCATTGATGCCGACAGGGACAGAGAGGGGCCGCGAGCTGTGTGAGGATACGGAGACCTCGGCGGGCTGGAGAGGTCCTTGGTTGGCGGTGGTGAAGTCGGGGGGTTTGCGGCGCAGTCGGGGAAGGAAGGGTTTTTATTAATTTCGTTTTCTGCAGCAACAGCACTGTCCGCAGGGCTTCTCCCACCTGTTTCTTCCTCCTCCCTTTCTCTTCCCACGGGTACGGCCAGCGTTTTCAACCGGGCCTCCTTCCTTTAATTTTTATTGCCCAGGTGCGGCCCACTACTCCTCTTCCTTCTTACTCTTATAAGCCGGCCCACAAGCAAAAATGATTCGTTGAAAGAAGCCCTGGAAATGATTTTTGCTGGGACTTAGTAAATACTCCGTTTAATACACGTATATGTACCCGTACGTACTTTATCCGTTTAAAACTTCCGTATTCGTATTTTTGTCAAGCCGTTTCATTTTTGTCCGTTCATTTGGTGGCTCCCGTACTAAACACGTATAAAATCCGTATAACACGTTTTATATCCGTATTTAATGAATTAAATTGTTAACTTTACTATTATTTATATATTTATTTATTTTTAAAAAATAATTTATTTTATATATTTATGACTATTAACGTACTATTAAACGTAACATTAGCTTAGAGATGAAGTAAAATACCCGTACGTATTACATCCGTAACTTTCCCGTACCGTATTTTACTAACTATGCTTGCGAGTAAGGTGTGCAACGGTTCGGTTCGGTCTGGACCGGACCAAACTAATGAGAATCGTGATTCATTAGTGAAAGACATCTTAGAATCAAGGATCGGACCATTATTGTGTTTGGTCCGGTCCAAATATTAGTTCGGTCTATCATATCTTCAGTAATTATAAAATTCATGTGCAACAAGGATCGAACCACATTATACTCGGTCCGATGCGGTTCGATCCAAACTTCGGTTTGATCTGGTGCGGTCCCGGACCAATGCACACCCCTACTTAGCGAGAATGGATGGCCATGTAATTTACAACTCAATTACCTATCTTTTTCCAAAATTGTATGGGTGTATTGGAATTTGGATGGGAGCGGCTATGGTGATTACCATAGTAGTATTTACCATGGTTGTTAAGAGAAAATTAGGTATGAAATAATCTATATATTAATTATTTTTTCAATAAATTACATTTAAAAATGTTACAAATACATATTAATTAAAATTTTCTCTCTCATACTTTTCCACTTCCGCAAATCTCCAGCCACCTTTATGCCTTCTTCTTTTCAATTTATTTCTTGTTTCCATTCAGCCAAACTAATATCACTGCAAAAATAAAATAAAAAATCAATACAAATTCATAAAAAACACTAGTACTTCAAAAAAATATCAATATCATTATAGAAATAAAACAAGAAGGACGACCTATTGTAAAGAAAATTGATAGAGTACTTAATGTTCTTTGGTTTAGTTCTTACTCCATACCACTTTTAGGGTTCTGATGTCTGGATTATCTTACCATTGTGGGCTCCAATGCAGTTAAAAAAATCGCGCTTTAAAACTTAAAATCTTACGATTTTACGCTTCTAGGTCACTAAAACGCTTTCGTTTCCATGTAAAATCTTAAGTGCATAAAATTGGACTAAATTGCGTTCTAAAGCTTAAAAGCTTACGCTTTTACGCTTCTATTTCACCAAAACGCTTTACGCTTTTACGTTTTTAGTTCACTAAATGGATATTCTTTTCATGAAATTAATCATAAAAAGTATACTGTAAAGGTAAAACACCAACAATATGATAGATTTTATATTAAAAGATACATATTAGGTACTTGGATGCATTCTCAACTTGAGTAGAGTAATCTAATTCACTAGCTAGGCCTTTCCCAAATTTATTAACATAGACAGGAAGGTGACTTATTGTTAAGATCTATGTTTATGAACTTATTGTTAAGATACTATGAGTTGCTCTACTTTAGACGTGAATTACAAGTATTTATTAACTTATCCAAATTTGTGCACCCACATTTTACATAGTATATATCGTACTCAACAGATTTTTAGTTATTTTCCAGTATGCGTCAAAAACTTACGCTTTTACGTTTTGATTCTACGCTTTATGATTTTACCCCTTTTCCGCTTCTAGATAGAATCGCGCTTTTAACTGCATTGGTGGGCTCCTAATGGACAATAACAGTAAGCTGAGGAAACTCCCTAGGCCTTTCTGGAAACAACATCCAGAGTATGAATCCATAATCAAAGATAATTGGAATGAGCCTGAAACAACGGGAGGAAGCTCAACAAGTGGCTTGGAGCGCCCTACCCTTAAGACTTTTGCAGCTGATAGGGGGTGTATGGTCCGGCTTGTTGAACTAAAGAAGGAACAAGATTTATTTTACAAACAAAAATCTAGGGTTATGTGGATCATCACTACGGTAGCCAGCAAAGGATGACGGTAGCAAGCGATCGAAAGGATAAGGAGAGTAAAATCAAGGTATCAGGCGGCAGGAGGAATCCGGGGAGTTTGGCTAGAACGTTGTCACTGCCACCGTGGATAGGGAGGGAAGAAGAGGAAGAAGAATCGGATGGGGAAGAGAGTGGGTGAGATATATGGTTTTTTTTTTTTTACTTTTATTATATATTTTTCTTAGAAAAATAAAATATTATGTACAATTAATTAATATCGATGTGGCATGCCTAAATTTTAACTTTCTTGTCAAGTCATCTAAGCTTTCCACCTCACCAAAGATTTTTTTTCATGTCAGAGTCAACTAACGGTTGACCGGATGTAAAGTTAACGTTTTGGCTAATAAATTATTTTTTCAAATGTTTGGTTATTATTTCATTTAAAATGAAAGATTTTGGCTAATAAATTGTATTTACCCTAGTTTTGCTATTCTAAAACCCATCGAGTATATTCCCATATTTTTTTTTGGATTCATGGTTAGGTTCAGTGTGAGTTTGGAAAAATTAGATCCAACTTAATTCGTTGTCATTTCCAAGACTTTTACTTGAATAAATAAATAACTTAAATTAATTGAATCTTCCAGCTATAGTATGAGTGGGGACCCAAACCAAACCATAAGGGAAATTGCTATTTAGAGTTAGACTAGACCATGCAGTTTGGACCAGACCTCACGATCTGGACCGAACTATGAGATAAATATGACGATCTGGTCCGAATTGTAGTCTCCCCCTTTAGTGTGTTGTTTGAGCAATCTAGATCGTGTCAAACCACGATTAGCCGTGAGCCCGTGACAGACTGTGACCTACTCACTAATCCAAATCAAAATAAAACTAAATCTTTCCTTTATGCATTTGGAAGAAAAACCCGAGCCTAATCGACCATGGAAAGCTAACAATCCGATCCTCCCATTTTAGATTTCAGTACAAGCAACAAATCTATTTGATTCTTCATCCAACTGAAAACCTAACAATTGCTCAAGCGATCCCTTTTGTGTTATCTCCTTATGAAAGAATCATGTAGAATGAGAAAAGATGAGAAAATCATCTCCACTAGCCATGTCTGGACTTCATAGGCGACTTATAGGAATGAAGAACAAAATTTATTTACCTAGGGTGAGATAATAGAAATTATAGGCGAGCAAAGTGACCAACCAAGTGGTCCAAAACAGTCTCGACGTCGTCATGGGTGAGGATTAAGTGCGAGAATCTTCCGGATCACTCGGGAGAGGGAGATAAGCGATAGCACAAAGAGGAAGAGGGAGACGAAGTTTGTTGTGTATTTTATTTTAAGTGGATACCGGATAGAGTAGTGAAGAATAGAGTGGAAGTAAGAAATTGAAAAAAGTTCACTTCTCTTCTCATATTTCTTCGCGGGTTAATAGCAGTTACTAATTTTTGTTTCACTATTAAATTGAGCACTGAAATTTTTATTCTTATGGATATCGGGAAGGATCCGAAGGGGCAAAGAAGAGTGAAGTTTTGTTGAAGTCCAAACCGTATCAGACGACATCGTACAAGCGTGATATGGATTGTGTAGTTTATGATCTATGTTCTAACTTTCGGTGCGGAGCACAAATTGTATATATACTCCAGTCTCATCCAGACTACACTGTTTCCCACCCCGAAACTGGACAGTCAGGAGAGGGAACCAAATAAATCGAATCAATCATTGTGGAAAGGGTTATGATTGTTGAGAAATGTGAATAGTTTGTAAAAACTAGAGGGAAGTCCTTGCAAAAAAGGTAATGAAGTTAATTCTGATTAATTTTCCGTAGTATTGAAGGAAAAGTTTTCTCAATAAGAATTAATTGACTGAATTAACGAAAATTTTCAATCAACCGAAATCATCCATATTGAAGGAATTTTTCAATGATCAGATCAATTACTCGTACTTACGGAAAGTTTCAATCAATCATATATTGATTTCTTGTACGATATAAACTTTTATTAATCGGGTTAATTGACTGTATTAAAGGAAGGTTTAATCGAGAGTTATTACTTTTGATTTCTTTCCTAAAGAATATTCTCAATCCTCCAGCAAGAGGGAAAGTCTGAAGGTCTCATCATATATAAATAGATGAGTTGCCTAATCCTACGAAAGAGAGCAAAAAGAGATCAATAACCCGAAAAGTTTCAATCAATCAGATTGATTTATGGTATGAAGAAAACTTTTATCAATCGGGTTGATTGACTGTATTAAAGGGAGATTTAATTAGGAGTTAGTACTTTTGATTTCCTTTCTTAAGAAGATTCTCAATCCTCCATCAAGAGGTGATGTCTAAAAGTCTCATCCTATATAAATAGATGAGTTGCCTAACCCTAGAAAAGAGAGCATAAACACGAAGAGAGTGAGATTCAAAGAGTTCTGATTTCGCACAAGTCGAGATAAATAATGGCTGTTTTATCATGGAGGCGCCCTCGTGATAGTCTGTTGTGCGCATTAAAAGACATTTGTGCAAACATTTAAAGAGAACGACATAGTCCGCAATTGCGCCAGATCTGGTAACCCTAGTTTCACTTGTTTGGTTTCTAACAATGGTGTAAACCATTGGTCTCTGGAATTCTCTTCTTCAGACTTCGGGAAAACCTTCGGTGTTCGATTCGCGTAACTACTTTGTAGGTGGGTACTTTATTCTTTTCTTTCGTTTTCTTCGAGTGTTGGAGAACGCTGGTTACTAATTTCACTTGATGGGTTTCTCTTGTCAGTTTATTGTGGATTTCCCGTGCCCTTAGATTGATTGCCGGGAGAATGGAAGAAGAATCATCGGGAGGCGGCTGCAGAAGCTGGGAAGAGGAAATGTATTGGAAGCATTTCCAGTTCACCCACTTCTCTTAGTTTCTCCTTCCTGGTTACGATCACCAGCTTGTAAGCTTTCTCTGTTCTGCAACCTCTATCGTTAATTTCTGGGAATTGGAAGCGAAGTTGCATCCATGACCTTACTTTACCCTTCGTTTCTCACTATAAAGTTTGCAACTTTCATCGAGGTTTCAGGCTTATTAGAGTTCTGTACCTTGCTAGTGACAATGTGTGACCTGGGTTCTGCTCATTTTGCTTTATGTGATCTGTTGTTACATTGATGATGGTGGAGCAGGCCATGCCGAAAGCCTTCTTTTGTAACCAGAGAAAGAAACTGCCCGAACGAGTGACACTCAAAGGTCCCGGTGGCAATACATGGGAAGTTGGACTGACCATAAATTCAGGAACTATGTTCTTCGATGAAGGTTGGGGAAGATTTTTGAAAGACCATTCGCTCAAGGAGCATGATCTCTTGGTCTTCAAGTATAATGGGGTTTCCCATTTCGAGGTTCTAATCTTCGATGGGGAGACCTTCTGCGAGAGGGCGAGTTCTTATTTTGTTAAGAAGACTGAACAAAGAAAAGCTCCTCTTGAAAATGGCAGCCATCCCAAGAGGATGCATGGAGGAAACTCTTCTGGTGTTGTTATGGCTACCCCTGTTGCTCAGGTTATGAGCACCTCGTTAGAGAAAACTGCTGATAATGACATTGGCAGCACGGTGCCATCATCGAGAGCTGGTCATACGGTAGTAAAGAATGTCACTGGAACAACACCTGTTTCTAAGCCTGTCAGTAGAACAGTTGAACATCCTATTGTTTGAGAAGCTACCAATGTAAATACCAAGAGGCAAAAGAAGAGCATTGGTGGCTCAATTCATGATAGCGAGACTGAGAAAAGCGAAGGGCTCTCTTGTTCTGCGAACATGGAGAAAGATAAAGGTAATGCTATGTATCCCAGCAATCTTCTATAGATGCATCAATTTGGTTTATGAAATGTTTGTTATTCCAGCATCCATTGCTCCCTTGATTTAACTTTTCGTTTGTGAACTACTATTGAGTTATTGTCGTGACATTCACTTAGATGCGTGTTGAATAGCCGGGTGTTAAGAGTTACCGTAGTAGAGATTTTTTGGGTAGTTACTTTGGTTTTCTTCATGATACAGTTGTTAAAACAACACCCCTCAGCTTTGATATGGTGCATGATGTCCCATACATATCACTTAGAAAGATGGTAACAGAAGCTGAGAAAAGGAAGGCTCTGCAATCGGCACAAGATGCTGTAACCGCAGATGGGTTCTACGTTATCATGAAACCCACACATGTATATATGAAATTCTTCATGGTATGATGCGACACCCATTTCTTTTGCTCATTCAGTTTCCTTTTTTTCCCGGTAAACCTGATTCTTTGGTTTTACTGACATTTGAGTATACAAATTTTGAGCTATGTTTCTGGGGGTTTCCTTTTCTATATCCTGGCAGTCCATCCCTACTGTATGGATGAACAAACATCTTCCCTTGTTGCTCAAGCACGCCGTGGTCCTGAAGATGAAGGACAAGACCTGGACGACCAAGTTTAATTATCAGCAGTCTCGTAAGAGCGGTGGCCTCTCGGCCGGATGGAAATCATTTGCTGCTGAAAACAACTTGGATGAGTTTGATGTTTGTGTGTTCGAACCTGATGCTCCATTCTACACATCGATTAGCCTGAATGTTAAGATCGTTCGTGTGATCCAAGATGAGTAATTTTTTGGTGACAGTCTGAGGTTTGCTCCTAGAGTACGCTGTAATTTATTCTGTTTAGAGTTGCTGCATGGCCCCTCTACCTAGGATGCTGTGAGGTGTGCTTCATAGTGAGGCAACAGGCTTTCAGTGGGCTAGCCAAGCTAATCTATCCTGGGGATTGGGTGAACTAATGATTAGTGGCTGTGGAGTCTTTGCTTTGCACACCCTGTAGTGTCAGAGATGTACACTGATGAGACTCTAGAAATGTGTTCTCTTTTATACAGAACTGTATGTCAATTTAGATAATTAGACATTTCTAATGGAGATAACTAGCAATGGTCTTATTGTCGAATTGTCTTGTTTTATCTTTTCTTCCCAAAGGAGACCATGGTTTATATGGGTCGTTTGGCAAACCAGATGAGATGTGGCATTTTGATGTCGCAATTACATCATCACAAGTTGATGTGCCACCTACTAAAATAATGCAATATGCACATATCCAGAATGTTGCATCCAAACGACTAAAAAATACCTAGTTATGGGCAGTTTATCCCAAATGCTTCAATTAAATGTACATTCAAACAAACAATAGATAATAGAAGGTTTCGTGAGTTTTTCGTATAATCCCAAGTCTTTATTCTATTAAGTTAGCGTCCAAATCCAGATGCCATTCTCAACTCTCAAGTTCAAGTACAATACTAAAGGATGAACTCTTACACTAATTGCTCTATGATAACCCATAAAAATAGGTGCTATCACTTATCAGCCTTCCATTTCTATGTGTTTTCATGGCCCTTTGAGTTTAATGATCCTTAAACGGTTGTATTTTAGTTGAGGAATGTTTCATATTCGACATGAACATGTTTTACACATACATTGTGAGGGCTTAGTTGAATTTGGAACAAAGGTTGGACAATAAGTGTAGTTGTGTACGTAGGGAGCAACTATTATGGAGTTCACGGTCTTCACCAAGAGGCCACGGTCGCGATGTTCAAAGTCGTGATCGAAGGTTATGGAGTTGCAGAAGTTCATGGTCGTTATCTTTATGGCCAGGCTACAAACCTTAAGAATAGGAGAGTAAGAAGAAGCAGAAGCTCTCGTGGACAAACTTGCGGACACTCGAAGGAGACCACGACTTTCGAGTTCATGACTACGAGAAAGATCACGATCATAAACGTGAGGTCGCGATATCTGAAGATGTTTTGAGCAAGATGATGGCGTATTAGAGTTCATGGTGTTGAATTTCCGCAAACTCCACCTATTAACAAGGCCGATCCTTCCTCTCATATATGTAGTTGAATGATTTTGAAAGAGGGAGAGACCAGATTGTCAATTTCATCACGCAATTAGAGAGAGAAAGAGTGGACTGTATTATCGAAAGAGAAGAATACCTAGGAGAAGAGGGAGAGAAATTCTTGGAGCTAAATTTCCCCAGGGTCAAGGCTGCTAGGACTTTTCTTTTGTATTTTGGGTAAGTAACCCCCAACCTAGATGTAGGGGTTTGTGATAGCAATGGACAATTGGATGAGATCTTAGTATCTTCTGGCTATGTGATTTAATTTAACGCTTATCCATGTCTAAATTGTACGCGGATGATGATTTAGAGTTTGACCCATAAAGGTGGCAATTCAATTGGGTCAAGATGCGACTAAAATTAAGTATAACGACAAGGTAATTGCATGACCATTAAATTGCTTAGTTTTGTGATCTTGGAATTGTTCCATTTTACAAGGATTGTGCATATCTCTAGCTTGGGTGGTTTATTACAGGATCATTGAGTTGCTTACCATAGCTATGGGTAAACTGCTGCTTGATTATTGACACAATTGCCTCTTATCAAATCCTTGCACTTTAATTACTAGAATTAAAACAATTGAAGTCCATTATGATTGCATTAGTTGAAAAATCATAAACTTATAGACTATACGAATTCGATCCTTTAAGTGGTGATATATCCTCACTTTCCCAAGGAATACGAACTTGGTGGGTTCGGGTTTGGGTCAATCAGGTTGCAGGTCAAGCGGGTTCGGGTTAATCGGGTTGTGGGCTAGTCGGGTTGCGGGTTAATCGGGTCACGGTTCAATCAGGTTGCAACTCGGGCAGGTTGCGGGTCATTGACTTTTAGTCAATTCGGGTTACGGGTGGGTTGTAGGTTAGGTTAGTCGGATCTGGTTCTGTTTTGACATCTCTATTTGTGGGTGAGCTACACGTAATAGTGGAGCGCTCTTCGTTCTTATTATATGCTGCTCATGAATGGATGGGTTCCCTCTAACGTGACTTGCATAGGCCTCTCTTGTAATATATCCACCATAAGATCCTGCCTAGTGACCTAAAGGAGACATGTCACCTGAAAGGGAGAGAACCCTTCTACACCGTAATCGAAAAAACCTCTAACAAAATTTTTACTAGCCCTTACCTGAGATGCCTTAGTAATGTGAAGCCCAATTTTACCTCCAGGAGGCCCATAAGGGCTCTTGCGCCATGCACAATGATCTGGAGTCTGAAAGCACCCTTCTCCGCCAAGGTTACTGTTAGCCGAACCTCCACAATACGCCAATCCATATGTCAAAACATGTCCCTAATTCCAAGTGGTAGCTCCTGTTCCCCATGCACCCACCGCACCTATGCAATGCAACCAAAGCCCATGGCATTTATCTCAATGGTTGGTCCTTTTCCAAGGGCTCCAGAAAAATAAGAAGGGGCTCCTAGTCACAATCGACTATTTCACCAAGTGAATTGAAGTGGAAGCCTCCACGGGAATGACAACTAAACAAGTTGAAAAATTCTCGTGGAATAAAATAAATTTCAATTCAGCCTCCCACACATAATTGTGCTCCACCAGGGCACACAATTCAAAAGTGACAAATTCCAACCTTATTATGCCGATATGGTATCCTCCTCGAATATGCCTCGGTCTCTTACCCTCAAGCTAACGGTGAGGCGGAGTCCGCCAACAAGAGCATGCGGGGATTCAAAACCCGTTTGGATGATGCTAAGGGAAATGGGTAGAAGAGCTCCCACATGTCTTATGGACTCACAAGACCACCTTCAAAAATGCCACTAGGGATGCACTTTATGAACTCACATACGACATTAACGATTGCCAATTGATATGGAGTTGGCCTCCTATAGGATCCTATCCTTTAACCCAAGCTCCAACAAGCATGAGCTCAAACACAACCTAGACATTGTCAAGGAGCAATGTGAGGGCGCTCTACTTTGCATTGATGCCTCCTAGGATCAAGTTGCTCGCTACTACAACTCAATGTTAAGCATCGCCCATTAAGAGTAGGAGATTGGGTGCTAAAGCTGAACTTGCACTCTGATCCCTTCCAGGGAAAGTGTACCCTCAAGTGGGAAAGACCATGCTAGATGAGGGAAGTTGTCAGAGGACCCAACACGGTCAAATTAGATTATGCTCAAGGTAGCAGTATGCCAAAAACTTGAAACTTTATGAATCTTTAATACTATTTCACCCCAATGTAGTTATGCAATCCGAATAAAAATATAGTGTATGAAGATACAAAAGGAAGCTTCTTTGCATTTCTTGTAATATTACATGGTAGCTTACAGCAAAGAAAACAATAAATAAAGAGCATAAGGAGAACACGAGTCCACCACATCTCAACCTACTCAAACTCAGAATGGGAGAGAGGAATAATCCAAGTGGAAAGGTGGGGTACATGTGAAGGGAACATACACAACCAAAAGATCCCACCATCATTTTTATCATCTATGCTTTTCACATAACCTCATCCTATAGGAAATTATTGTTCTAAGTAACCGTTGGGTAGTAGTAATGAAACATACACGACCAAATGAAAGAATTGGGCCGCTATTGTAGGCATGAACTCTCTTTGTCGGCACAAGCCCTCTCTCATGCAAGGGACTCCCTTGCCCCCTAACGTCCTCCTGCTGTTGTGTAAAGAAGAATTACATCTCCCCTAGAGCAGCATGATCATGTGTGCGATTCCTCCTCTTGCTCCATCTGGCGATGCAAACTCACTAGCAGAGTCTTTAGATCTTAGAATGAGCCTCCTAAATTTGAATTACTCATCCACCCTAGTGCGCTCATCCCGATCAGGTTCCTGTCAGGCTTCACGAGCCTCCAAAACCCGAGAAGAGGTCGACCCTACAACAACTATAAGCAAGAAAGGTAAATCCAAGGAAAAAGTGAAATGGAAAAAATTCACAGAGTAAAGAGGCAAATACCTTCATAATAGACACCATGATGAAAACATAAATATCATATTTGATCTCCATCAAATCCCTCCAACAACATGTCTAAACTTCATGGAAAATCATCAAAGGATATGTCTAGGTAGCCATGAAGAATTACATTAACGGTGGAAAACCTCTAGCTAAAATACCCATAGGTCATGTGGACTCCGAATAGGGGGATTCAGCACCTTCAAGCGATGAAAGCACCATGGTGTGAGACTAGAGTGGAACCACCATGCTACTATCATGACTAGCTGCAAAGCCATACCCATTCACCATAAACTCTTTTATCTTGATAGTACCTCCACCAATTACAAGATGAGCACCCTATTGTGACCTCATGATCCCTCATCCTTAACTCCATGGCAAATCTCCTCCTCCGACGTTTCCCATAGCCACCCACAAACAAATCACCCAAAAAACAGAGGAGGGGGAATGATATGATCTCAATCGGATCAATCTTGAAGCTGGAATTGCTTGAGGAAGAAGGAAGTGGAGTTTGGAAGAAGAAGGAAGGAATTTGGCTAAGTGTTGGGTCAGGTTTGAGTTACCTACTTTGGGAGCTCATATCTCCCAAGCCATTCAATGAAAATGTGAGTTTGAGGGATCAATGTGATCTTCAAGTCTTTATAAGTCGATTGATAGGTCATGGGGCTCAAGGAGATGCCAGGAAGGATGTTTACCAAGCCTCACAAAATGCTATGGAGAAACCTGGAATCTGTCCAGATTTGGCTAAGGCAGAAACTGTGTTCAAGATGCTACTTTTGAAGCCCTATAACTGGAGTTTGGGAGGTGATTTC